CGAGCGACAATCGAATAGGTAGAAGGTCGACGAACGGACGTGTGACCGAAAACGGGACCCGGGGCGGATTTCAGAGATTGCACGACGAATTTGCAATTCAAAGAGACACGCGAACGTGCCACCTCGATGGGTAGCAATTGTTTCAATTCGTCATATACGGCACATTAATGGCGGATCCAGAGCTCCCGGAGCTCGTTAAAACTCAAAATATCTTGCATTACTTGCCTCTCTTTGACTGGCATCGCCAACATAATTAATTTGCATACTCAATAACGTGCATTAACCTATTTTTTTTCATAGAATCAACTCGCGATTCTAGGAACTTTTTTATCAAACCAACTTGAAACCCTCAGTTTTCGAAATTTTAGACTTCATACACTTAAGAGTATTTTTCAATTATAGAAGCTTAGCATCTTTGTTGTTTTGAAACTGTGTCGATATTTTTTAGTTCTCGAATTCATCACAGCGTCAGAATTGTGAACCTCCAGAATTTTTCCGCAGAATACATCTACATAAACCCGCAATGTCGTTTAGCCTCAACCTTCCAACGATACATGTATTCAGGGATCTGAAATGTTCCTTTTCACACCCGCGCATAAAGAGTCACTCCATTCTAGCGCATTTTCATGTTACGACTGATCCTCGAGCGCATACGCAACTTTGCTAAATCACATACAGCCTCTGCGACGGCTCTTTTTCGTGGGCGACGCAGGACGCCGTTCCGTCTCGACTAAAAAATTTTCTCCGGGGAAGATCGCGCGTTGCACGGCTTTCCAGCGAGCATTTTTCACCTGCCGTCATAAAGTATGCTCCCGACGGGCTTCGAAATCCACGCCCGAGGATGAACGTCGTCGAAAACGTCCTCGGATTGCGTCCCGGAGAAGGTGGGAAATAAATCCGACACGATCCGTTGCGGACTTTCTTCTAGCACGTGCCACTAGCTATAAAACTCCGATCACAAACAAGGGAAAATTATTAATGATGGCTGTCGTATCAGATCAAGATTTTTGAAATTATAGTGAAATCAAGGTTTAATGATTTTCAGAAATAAAGAGGTGTATTGTTGATGTTACTTTTTTAATGTAAAATTTATAGTAGGAGGTCAATGGGTGTGGACATGAATTATGTTGGAGTGTGTGTTTGGACAGTACAGGTCTATGTTCTTGCATCTGTGCTGAAATTTTTATGTACTGAGATGGGGATCTTAAGATGCTTATACCTTGAGATCTATACTATACCTTGATATTTTTAGTCTGGGCTTCCTATGTGCCGTGATCGATTTGTCGTGAGGTCTCCATGTACCAAGGTACCTATGACCCTAGATCACTATGTCCTGAGATTGATGTGTTCCGAGATCTCTGCGTTCCGAGATTGCTATGTCCGGAAATCCCTACGACCCGAGTTTGCTATGTCCCGAGATCCCTACGCCCCGAGATCCCTATGCCCCGAGTTTGCTACGCCCCGAGATCCCTACGCCCCGAGATCCCTACGCCTCGAAATCTCTACGCCCCGAGATCTCTACGTCCCGAGATCGCAACGCCCTGAGTTTGCTATGTCCCGAGATCCCTACGCCCCGAGATCCCTACGCCCCGAGATCTCTACGTCCCGAGTTTGCTACGCCCTGAGATCCCTACGCCCCGAGATCCCTACGCCCCGAAATCCCTACGTCCCGAGATCCCTACGTCCCGAGATCTCTACGCTCTGAGTTTGCTATGTCCCGAAATCCCTACGCCCCGAGATCCTTATGCCCCGAAATCCCTACGCTCCGATATTGCTATATCCCGAAATCCCTACGCCCCGAGTTTGCTATGTCCCGAGATCCCCACGCTCCGAATTTGCTATGTCCCGAAATCCCTACGCCCCAAGATTACTATGTTCCGACATCCCTCTGTCCCGAGACCTCTACCCACCCCTACATCCCCACATCCCAAAATCTCCTTGAAAACCCTCCCTGCTAAGATCCCAAAATCCTCAAACCCCCATCTTCAAATCCTCACCCTAAGTCCCTACATCCACAAACTACTTTCAACCTTACACCAAAAATGGTGTCTGAAGTCTCCATAGATCCCTGGAAATCTCATGATCGCATCTTCCACGCATTGGCGATATCAACGAGCATTAGACGTGTCCAATGGCGTTCTAAAAGAGCGCGATGGCACAGATTAGGTCATCGACCGACGGTTAATAAATCCCGATTGAAGGGTGTTTCAATTAAGGTTTCCCGGTGACATTTTATCGTCCGCTCGACCGGTAAACCGACGTCACAGAACGAGCCGAGCGACTATTCTCCACCGGCAATTTGTAGAGGAATGAAAAGACCTCAATTAGCGGAACAAAGATTGGTCCGATAAAACGGATTCGACGGAATTATAGCGTTCAGATTTAACCGGATGCCAGCCGAGCGTTTGAACTCTCCTCTCTATTCTTTCCGCTGTTATTCGATTTTTCTCCTCGTTTTGTTTCTTTCTGCCTTCCTCTTTGTTTCGTTCCGCGAATTCGTCCAGGAAAAATTTCGAATCTAACGATGATCAGCTACGGAACAAATCGGTTTCCGATTGGTTAACAAGGATCCTTCGAGGATAAACAAAACACGCTTGTTTAACTCTTGTGTGCAATCAAAGTGATTGATCAGATGTTTTAATTATTTGCTTTCTTGTTCAGTTGTTCTGCACATTTTGCATATTTCGCATATTCGGAAGAATGTTTTTAACTCTTTCAAACGTATAAATATAAATTTTTATTCTGTCTACTAAGTATGCTTCAAGTTAGTAATATTTCAAAATTTTTACTAGTTTTAAAATTCTAATTTTTTCTAATTAATCAAGTCCTTCGTTGATCACTGAAATTTAATAATATTCACAGGTATTTCACAGCTCAGTCAAAATTTGCTTCCCCTCTCCACTTCAAAAGATATTCCAGCAAACAATGCAGAGACAGAAAATTGAATAAAGCGCCATTTTTCCAGTTTTCGCAATGTAATCTCATTCCAGGATGCAAATAGGGATTAAAACAGTTGTCGGGCACAACATTTTTGACTCCAAGGTAAAAGACTTAGCCAGACACGAGCGGTTTCCGGTTTTTGAACGAAACGTTCCTGAAAGCGACGGAACAAGAGCGAAGCCCCTGAAAATATGCTACACCGACCGCTGGTCGTGTTCCTCCATTTTTTTCTTCCTCGCGGTTTCTACGGCTTCCGGTAACAACGACAAACGACACAGATTTTATATTCCTTCCCCGACAGGAAGTACTAATCACGTTAGGTGGAAGCCGTGTCGCTGTCCGCGGAATTTCGTCGTTTCACGCTCGCGCGGAATTTTCAAACTTCCGTTTCGTGGACTCGTTAGACTTGGACGAATGCTCGAGTTCCGCAGTAACTGTGATCAGTGTTAATTATCAAGGTGAAACGAGCTCGATAATTAGATTACTAACTTTGTTATTATTACAGAAGTACAACTTTGCATTACATATTCCCTTGATTACTTTTTGTGGATCATTTAAAGCAACGACCTTAAACTTTTTCGTTTTTTTTTTAACCTTGCAATTTTAATCTTGATGATTTTAACCTGGATGAGTTTTAACATTATTGCAGAGACCTAAATATATTTTTCCGAGCTTGAAAGGTCTTCGAATGATACTTCGAAGGTCTCATCCATTAAAAATGAAGAGCGAGAGAAAATAAAATTGATATTGTGCTAGGTGGTTTCCTCGCGACCGAGTCTAATAGTCGCAATAACATGATTCGTCGAAGCGGTAAGATGTCAACTGCGAGCTTTGGGAATAAGTGCAGAAAATATCCCGTGATCGAGTGTATCGGGTATCGACACGACCGCCAAGTGCAACTGCATTGTCCCAGTGCACGCCAATGCGATTTCTCTGTCCTGGGACTCGAAACCAGTAATAACAGCAGACATTCTACTGGCGCTCTTTTCTTGCCGAAATCACGGGCAAAGCGGGAACTGTTGACGTGGATTGGGAAATGGTGTGGGAAGAAATGTACACGGTGGCCCTAAAGAAATGTTTACAAAAACAGCTGTGCATTGAAATTATTTATTTATGAATACATTAAATAATATACAATTAAATAGCAGTAAAACTTTATTGACATCTGATGTACCTATTATTATAGCACCTATTATTTCCTATTATTATAACATCTATTATGTTAAACTAATATGATACATTACTGTTACATATTATTATCGTATCATTTATTATTGCCTAACATTATAGCATCCATTATGAACATTCATTTGACAAAATATGAAGAATGATCAGAATTAAAACATGAGACATTTTTAATATGTAAATGCACACGCCCGCGAATTGTGCAGCATCCTGTAGATGCAAGAAATTGCGAGACGCGAGAAACGAGAGGTCGCAGGGTGTTGAAAAAAAGATCGACACGGAAAAAAGCTATGGTGCGGGGAGAAGAGATACAACACGAACATAGAACTCCGCAGCGTGGAACGCATTTAAATAATTGCTTTTCGTTTTCATTTCTCGCTCTCATCATGTCGACGATGCTGTCTGCTTGGCCGATGCACCGATTCATTCTGTTTGCATCCACCAATGTTATCATGCGCCGACTAACTCTCGTCGTGGAAAATTCGTTATATGACCACAGCAATGCGAAAACTGTTCGTGATATTGTCGACCGTTTCAATCTTTGCGGAGCAATCTTTCTACTCTTAAATCTACAGTACTGAGTTTGCGTTAATTTGAAAGAGAAATGAAAATGTTAACTGATTTTTAAATTTAATAGGAAAGTTTTCGATGCATGCAAGTTGCAATACACGGTGTTGATTCTCAGAATAATTCTTTGAAAAAAGTTATTCTTTTTAATTATTAAGATATGTCCCCACTGTTTAATTATATTGATCTCTAAAAAATAAATGAAACCAGTGACCCGGAATACGAATCTGAAAAATAGTATAGGATCCGTCCGTATAATACGCTTTGTCCAATGTCCTAACATAATATTTGATTCGATTATGTTTCAGGTTTGATCACGACCAGTGGCCGGAAACTCGATCGAGAAAATCAGGCTGAACACGTTCTCGAGGTGAGTTTGCATATAAATTATTTCCCGGAAAAATATTGAAATATCAACGGGAACCATGAATCAGTGTTATCTGACAGAATCCCAAATTGTTGGACATCGTGTAATTAGGTCATGATTAATTGCACCAGTAAATGTTACTCCTTTAATTAATTCCCTTCGGGGTACAATCTTTATTTATAATTTACGTGAGCACTTCCAGATTTCCATTCAAATTGAGAATCTACTTTCGTTCGTAATTCCTCCGACCTTTATTTTATTTCTTAATGACTCTTGTTAAAATCATAGAATTTTTTTAATTATTGCATCGTTAATATATCTAGCATTTTATCTAAAAATATTTCTGTGGAACAAACTATCTCGATAAAATCGTTTATAGTCGACAAAGTGTTAACCCTTGGACTATGACATTTGTCAGGTGCCTTAGAATTAGCTAATTGCAGCTACAATATTACAGACAAAGAAAGTTGAAATATATGCAAATAATTGGGACTTAAAATACCACATTAAGGTGTATTAAAAATTCGAATAAAATGGATTACATAATTAATGAAGTAGTGCGTCACGAGTGCGTCAGACTAGACAGAATAGTGCAAAGGGTTAACTAAAATAAGTGGTAGATTTTTATAACAATATAAAAGTCATTTCAATATAATTGTCAGGATAATCAAAGTATCAAATGTGATATTTGGCAGAAATTTTCTTAAATCCCCCATTTTGCAGAATGATCCAGGTCTTAGTAAAGTGTCGAGGAGGCTTAACAGTTTCTCCAGCCGAACTAGATAGCTTCGACGAAATAATCATCTTAGACTAAGTATAATCGTGCGTCGATGTGTAGAAGTGAACATACATAGTTTGCACTTTGCTCGTCGGTGCATATAGGAGTCTGCGAGGTGTCGGTTAAGTCGGATCCACGAATAAAGGGATAGCATACTCGAATTTCTCGCATCGAGACGACTAATACTGAATCCTCTTCACGAGATTGCGGCTGCTTACAGACAACCTGCTAATTGATAGGGTGAAATTACTTGTTCACACTAGACGCGTCTGACTTCCGGAAACCTCTACTATACAAATGATTCTGCAAGGTCGGCGACGTGTGGGATTTATGCTGTTGACTCTGGAATTCCACACTTTCGACAAATTAACGACGGCTTAACGAATGATTTATTAACGGAGATCTCTACGCCCCGAGTTTGCTAGGTCCCGAGATTCCTACGCCTAGAGATCTCTACGCCCCGAGATCCTTACGCCCCAAGATCCTTACGTTCCGAGTTTGCTATGTCCCGAGATCTCTACGTCTCGAGTTTGCTATGTCCCGACATCTCTACGCCCTGAGATCCCTATGCTCCGAGTTTGTTATGTCCCGAGATCCCTACGCCCCGAGATCTCTACGCCTCGAGATCCCTACGCCCCGAGATCCTTACGCCCCAAAATCCCTACGCCTGGAGATCCCTACGCCCCGAAATCTCTACGTCTCGAGATCCCTACGCCCCGAGATTCCTACGCCCCGAGATCCCTACGCCTGGAGATTCCTACGCCCCGAAATCTCTACGTCTCGAAATCCCTACGCCCCGAGATTCCTACGCCCCGAGATCCTTACGCCCCAAGATCCCTACGCCCCGAGATTCTTACGCCCCAAGATCCCTACGCTCGGAGATCCCTACGTCCCGAGTTTGCTATGTCCCGAAATCCCTACGCCCCGAAATCCCTACGCCCTGAGATCCCTACGCCCCGAGATCCCTATGCTCCGAGTTTGCTATGTCCCGAGATCCCTACGCCCCAAGCTTGCTATGTCCCGAGATCCCTACGCTCCGAATTTGCTATTTCCCGATTTATTAACGCAATTTTCGCAGCATTTGAATACAATCGCTGAATAAAAAGTTCTCAACATTTAAATATCTAAATTTTCAATTTCCTCGATGAAGTATCAGTTGATACGTAAAGCATAAAATCCGTTGAATCGATCGAAATCTATTAATCCAACCACTACAAACGTTCTCGTTAGTTCAATTAAGGCGGTTCTTGTTTTTCTTAACGGAGAGCTCGATTAATTATCGTGGAACGTTTATGGAAAACTGCGACACAAGCTGCGACAATAATTGGGTTAATTTTAACGGAACAACGCCGAGTCACCAGTGCGATAATTAATTATTGCCCCGAACGAACGGCTCGCTACAATTTTTTTTTTCCATTCCTGTTCGTTCATTTTTCTATCGATTTCCTTTGCGCGATTCATTAACGTCGCGGCCGAGAATCGGCCCATTGTAGCGTAGATAACGACGCTAATACAAATTTGTATATTCCCGATATTAAATATCGTTCTGGATCATTATTTCGCGGCTCGGATTTAATCTGGTAGCCGGAAAGGGGTCGGACATTTGCATTGCAAAGTTCGTCCGAATCGAAATGTAATTCGAACGAATCTCGCCACGTTTCACTCTATTGACACTAAATTAATGTAATTCCAGCTGTTCATAAATCGTAATTAACTCGTTTTGCGCGTTTTAATAAGGCCGTTCCCACCTTTTCTTAAACGGAGAAACTCTGTTGATAATTTATATTTATTTAATATAACATTCGAATTTTTTCCTTCTGTTTAAAATATACAGAGTTACGTTGCACCATTAAAACTCATTTATGATGACAGTTACAATGAAAAAAAGTGAAGAGAATTTCTATATATTATTTGTACGTGGTAAATTTTTATTTACGGATATTTTATGGTGCTGTCTTTGTAGAGAACTTTCATCGAAGTGTAAGTAGCTTAAAAATAGATACTAAAGGACGTAATACTTTTTGTACTGTGGTAACGTAACTCACGCTGGCACCTCGAATCGATAGAAGCATGCCAGAGCCAATAAAATTATCTAAACTTCGGCAATCGAAAGAGCATCTAACCGAACGGGGTGTCTCAGGCTACTAAAAATGAATGAAATTGAAGCAGCTTTCCGTGCAATAAACAGACGTTCGTCGAATTCGATTCGGTAGCGCATAAATCGATTGTGCCATAAAACACCGGGCACGTTTCTGTTTCCCCGGTTTTACCCGGACGATGGTTTAATAAATATTCGAGACCGGTGGAAAGGGTGTGTTGCGTGGAAGGAATCGAACGGACCAAGGGTCTATGCACCCCTGATTCGCCGACACGTAAAAACTCGTTACGGGGTCGAAAACAGGCGCCACCCAGCCGTTTCCCATCTCGTCTCTATTTATTTCTAGCTCCTGTTGCGACCGACGAACCTTTTCCCGAGATTGCTATACTCCTTTGCTCTTTCCATTGTAACGAAATTCCGGCGTTCCACGAGACAGACACACGTACACACACACAGACGGAAAAATGGAGAAGGGCTGGTCGGTTCGCAAGGGTCGTCGTCGGTACTCTTCCTTTAATCTGGACGCCAAGAGAAATCCCCGAGAGTCTCGAATGACGACCCGTGGGGAAATGCTTCACCTTGTCCCTCTTTTCTTAGATTTTCCATCTATTCGGCCCGTCGACACTTCTCTTCCTTTATTCTCGACTACCCTAACCCCTTGTCTCTTGCTGTTTCCTGCCTAAGCTACGACACCGTTGTCTGGGCCTCTCGTTTTCCAGGCACCAACTTCTCGCCTCATTTTACTTTTCAATCTTCGGGAGGATGCGATTTTCTTCCTCGTTTCCAGTCTGACGATATTAGGAGACGCGATTGGGACCGTGGAAAGGAAACGGTTATTCGAGAGATTTGACAAGCAGACAGGCTGAAACTAAACGTTCCAAAGGGTGCATCGGTAATCGAGCTATCGACTGTTAGCGTTACCAACCCCCCGTTACGAGATTCGATTTACCTTATGGACTCGATCCTATCGGGTATTCTCTTCCTACAGCCTCGGATATCCTTCTTGCGATGCTCTTTATGTTTTTCTGTTATCTTTTTACCCCAGAACGCACCGTTGCATATTTCACGACACAAGAAAGAGAATGGATTTAATGCTCCAAGCTTTCCGTATCGATGCTACTCGATTATTCAATCTCTAAATATTGATGCAGTGTACAAATATTCAATCTTCACAAAAATTCTCATTTTCCAAATTTATACATCTACTTTTTCATAAATTTGTAAATATTTGTAATTTGTAAAATTTATAAATATAAAAGTTACAGACTGTTTGAAATTTCTGTAATAAATCTCTACATAAATCGCTGCAAGAACGAACAAATGTAACTTTAACGAGGTAAATAAGTAAAGCAATCGAATTACTTTGTAGTCGAGGAAACTTCCTCGGTTCCCGTTTCATGAAGCAGAATACTTCAAAGAAATCTTTTGTTTCCAAAGTACAGCAGCCGATACTTGTATCATTCTTCTGGTAGTTAAAAGCGCTGCAGGCTTCATCCAACTGCAATTTTTTCTGCATCGATCAAACGGGACGTTTTGATGATGTTTTAAAACTTTTAAACGTGAAGTTTTCGATTGAACAAAAGCACCGAGCTTTTACCTTCGTAATACAATTTTTTATCGCAGTAATGTTTTTATATTATTTTTCGATGCACGACGTAAATATGCAGAGCATTTGGTAAAGTGAAGTTTACAATTCCATCGATCGTTATACATATTTAATAGGCAAATACGAGATACATATTTACGTTTATGGGGAGATTGCTCTTTCGTTTGTATTCCACTTTATTGAAGGTTAAATATAACTTACACTGCAATAAAATGGTACAACACGTGTACATAATGGTTTCACTTGATAAAATATTAACTAAACTTTTTGGGGAGGTTGTATGTTGAAGGGGTAGTTTTTTGCTGATATTATTTTGTGTGCCTTTTTTTGCATGGATTCTTCAAATCTTCGTCATTCTTCAGGTATAATTTCTCATTTGATTGATGATATATTATGTTACTCAATATATATGTTACTTAATACATATGTTACTCAATAACGTATATAGTATATCACTTGACAAAACCATAAAAATTTCCAAAAATTAATTTCCTACCCCTAATACCTACTCTGTCACTACA